GTGATAATCCCAAAGAGTGAAAGACAGTTAAAGAGAAAAGGTGATAATGCAAATATTGAAGGATAGTAATAGATGCAGAGGTAAAGGGAGATGGTATAAATTATTTGGAACAATGATTGATAAAGTGATGATAATCCAAATGGTGGAAGACAGTAACAGATGATATAAATGATGGTGATACTCGACTCTTAAAAATTTTGTTGGATTTATTGGAGTTTTTCTTATGGTTAAGAAAGTGACTCAACAACTGATGGTAATACCTTTAGTGACTGTCCTTAGATTTGATTGAAGTCATTATTAAGACTAGACTATTTAATCAAATGATGATTTGTGGCGGTGCAATATCATTTAGGATGATATGATTAGTAAACATTTTCAATATCTAGAGTGTTATCATGAAGGATGTGGTGCTAGACATAAATTTAGGAATGGATCAAACAAGTTATTTGGATGTTATTGAGTAAATGTATATTAAATTAGTAAAATTGATCAAAAGTTTGTATTGTAATCCCTTGCATATGGAAATTGATCTATTGATATGAGATCAAAGGGATAATTTTAGTCAATTGTTAAAGTCCAATCGATAGAACTTTGGGTACTTGGCTAAGTATGGGATTAACGGTGGTTCTTTGACCATTAGAGTAATTCTTTATTTGGTCAATGAGTTTGATTGATTCTGACTCATTACAAATGAGTGAGTTTTTTTATGGTGAGTTTGGAATACATAAGAGATAACTTTGCGGAGTTCTTCTTGATTCTTGACGAAGAATGATAGCAAGGTGAAAAATAGAATTTGCTTTTGGATAACACTTACTATCAAGATAGGTGTGAAGAGAAAAATCCTATTTGATTGATATGAAGAAGAATCAAGCCTAGAGATATCCAAATTAGTGTTATTCATGGAGACTTGTCAGTATAACTTAAGGATGTAATGTTTAGCTTGGCTGAGGAGTTTGACTAATTCTCTTCATTTACAAATTTGAGTGAAAATTTTCGTAAGGTTGGGTTTAAACTCTAAGAAGATAACTTTTTAGATTTGCTTTTGATTCTTAAAGACGAGTGGTAATAAGATGTCACAAGGAATTTCACTTTGGGAAGACTTATTGAGATTGAACTATCTTATAGTTAGGCATTTATAGAAAATTTGATAGTTATGAAGTAAAAAGGTAACAATATGGATTATTTCCATAGGATTGGTAGATTAATTTGAGTGTATGAATGCAAAGTCTGATTGTTTGAGTTTTTGTTATATCAATCATTAGTGAAGTCATAGTCTTGATTAATAGCAAGTTGACACAGTATAGTTTTTGATCAGGTGCTAGTGAAGAAAGTCATACTTATGAATAAAATATGGAAACTTAGAATTTTCTGATGTTATTGTTAGAGCATCGAGAAATCAAAAGTTTTAAGATACATCGTTCTATCTTAAATTGATGGTTTTGTGGGTACATTTGGAAAAGTGATATTTTAAGAGTAAAAGAGCGATTTAATGGCCGATCATTGATTATCGAATGGTTAGAGAATTTTGAGACTACCAGAATTTTATTTTAGAAAATTCATAGTAATTGGAGGAAAATAATACGTTGATTCTTACTAGTATAAAANGGCCGATCATTGATTATCGAATGATTAGAGAATTTTGAGACTACTTGAATTTTATTTTAGAGAGATTCAAAGTAATTGGTGGAAAATAATACATAGATTCTTATTAGTATAAAATGAATATCATTTTTTAGAAATATTTGAGTGATTGTGATAGGTGTTAAATTATTAGATTATAGAAGAACTTCTTAATTGGTTGGGTTATAACGCTTGCATAGACAAGCAATGGAGCAAACTTCAGAGTCTATATTGTAATTGAATATCTTTAGAGATTAATATATTGATTTGAGCNCATAACACTTGAATAGACAAGCAATGGAGCAAACTTCAGAGTCTATATTGTAATTGAATATCTTTAGAGATTAATATATTGATTTGAGCTAATGATTTGNTATAACGCTTGCATAGACAAGCAATGGAGCAAACTTCAGAGTCTATATTGTAATTGAATATCTTTAGAGATTAATATATTGATTTGAGCTAATGATTTGATTAATGTAATCAGTATTTGGATCCTCTAAGATGACTATGGTAACTTAGGATGATATTAGTGATTTTGTTTATTTCTTTCAAAATTCTTAGCTCCGTAAAAAGAACAAGTCTTGTGGGAATGCCAAATGTTAGGGTGGAGGTCCTGAGTCTCTAGAGTTAATCTTTTAAACCCGCTTTAAATAATGATGATTAATCAATTAATCTTGGGGAAAATAAATATTAAATTAGCTCACATAACTACAATTACATAAATATTAATATTTTGATAGTGTGCACATCAAAAGTTGCAAAGATGGACAACTTAATTGCAGTAAGAGGAGAAAATATATTATGAATTTTGAAGAATAAAGTATTTTTAAGGAAGAGAGATTTTGGGTATGATTGATCATTGTGAAAATTGCCTGGGAGAGATATGGTTCAAGTTTTAAACATAAATGATTTGGTAAAGGAAGAGAACAATTTTAATGGAAGACAATCGAAGAAAAAGATATACAAGATGGTAGATGTTGGTGGTTTTAGGTTCACAACTTGTAATGGTTAATTATCAATTTCTTCTTTTTCCTCAGATAAGTTTGCTTTCTGAGGTGCACAAGAATTATTAGGTTACACATGGATGAGTTTGATGTGCGAGGTTTAGGGTAGACAATATAATAATGGATTGAAACTATGAGTTATTTTGTGATATGGCAAGGTGCTTCATCTTAACGATATATTCTAAAGGTAATAAGTAGGGATTAGTAACAATATAATGAGAGTCTGAGAAAGAGAGAATATAAAAATGACTAAGAACAAATTGTGAACCTTAGTTCTGGACATCCTTGACATGTAATGATGATTCCAAAAAAGGGTTTTCATTAACGTGGTCAAATCCATTCTACTTTGGTTTCCCCAAAGTTGGGTTTTATGGAGTAACCGTTCGGAAACTACCCATGCCTTAATTCTTTAATGTGTAAAATCTGAGATGGGCATTATGTTTAATCAAGTTTTGGTTCTATAATGTCAATCTAAAGAGCTTGGTGGAGTGAAGGCTTAGATAGCTTATCGAAATCAACGATGAAACTTGACAAGACTGCGGAATTGGATGATTTTGCTTTGAGTTTTGATCGGCTAGTTATGGAATGAGAAGTGAGAATAGTTTGGTTATTGGATTTAANTAAAGTATTGTGATTCAATCACTTGTTTATATGGTAAGACTTAGTGATGGTGAATGAGACCAAAATTAAAAGTCCAGGAAAATTATTCCTCTGTGTGTGGGTGACTTTGGCCACTAGGAAACAGAGCCGGGGGAGGCTGAGGTGATCCTAGTGCTCAACGGTTGAAGGAACAGTGTCTGGTGCGTCCTAGTGACCTTCACCGGATTGTTTTAGGGAACAGACCCGAGGGAGGCTGTGGTGACTCTAAGAACGATGTTAGATCCAACCCTGAGATATATTCTGGTATTTGGTTAAAAGTCCAGGAAAATTATTCCTCTGTCTGTGAGTGATCCTGGCCACTAGGGAACAGACCTGAAGGAGGCTGAGATGACTCTAGTGCTCAACGGTTGAAAGAACAGTGTCTGTTGCGTCTTGGTGACCTTCACTGGATCGTCTTAGGGAATAGTTCCCGGGCGGCAACCCGTGGTGACCCTAAGTACGATGTTGGATCCAACCTTGAGATCTTCTGGCATTTGGTATGGTTCCCAGATATTGTACAAGTCCTTACCAGTATGATATGATGATATAATTTGTTATTGTCACAACGTTTTTACTGGCTTTGTTTATGATTGTCTATCGTATGTCATACGTATTTTCTTGTTATCAGTTATTATATTTGGTATTTGGTTCCCATCGATTATTGGATATCGTACGGTCTCCACCATTATAATATAATGCACCATTGTGCTATGATTTCTTGTTGGAATCCGATTGTGTTATTCTTGAGAAATTGGTTATCTTAATGAAGTTATTTTTTTCAAACCTTTGATTTACATGTCGTCGTATGCCAAATATGTTTTTCAGCCACTTTGAATATGCATGTCTTTCTATTCACTGGGCTTTTTAGTTCGTATTTTCAAAATAATGTTTTTTTTAGGTAAACGATTGGAGTGTCAATGGCGGACTCAGGGAATTGATTGGGGACTAATAGTGTTGTGACCTTCGTAGCATATATTGTATAGCCATCTTTATTTGTTTGGATAATTGGGGCAAACAGGTTTAGGTATGTTGACTTTAACATATTGACATGAGATCAATTTAGTGTTAATGTTATTTTCCACTCCTATATTATTAGTTTATTGTTAGGCTTACGTGTTCCATAGGTTATGGATCTATGGTTCACGGCCGGTCATGCCCTTGGAGTTGAGGTGTGACAAAGAGAGAACAAGAGAGATATTACTATCACATAGTCTGTTAACTAAAAAACTTAACGAAAAATCCCCAAAATACTAAACTACTCTAACATAAATATCTGTCACATTACTACTCTTTAAGTTCCTTACCCCCCCCAAAAAAAAAAAAAAAAAAACTCCTTTCTTGCATTTTCAAGTTTCTGGAATGATTCGGTATCAGTCCGACTTGAAATAGAGGTTCTGTTTCAGTAAACTTCTCCAGCATGGCACCTCTGCCGTAGAATTGGATAATTGTTTTGAAGAAGGCTTTTGCTGATCATAACCTCCAAAACTTTCACACAACGCTTCTCCTTTTCTTTTAATGGGTAATTTCTACTCATGTGATTGGATGTAGTGGGAATTATTTAATTTTTTGGTATGATTGGTGCCTGATTTTTATGTAAGTTTACTATGAAGTATCAGCATTTCTCTATCTTCCTTGAACTCTCTTCCAGTATAAGTACGTGTATTTTTGTGACGTTGAGATGATTAGAGATTTAGACTATTCATTGACATGACTCATTTTTTCTCATGGACCCCAATGGTAAACAATTCTTTGATTTCAGCCGAGGTCCTGTCAGTATATTTAAATCTTTTTGAGTTGTTTCTGACGACCAAATGTTTCCATGGACAGGATCTGTATAGGAACATCTTACGTAGTGACAACTCTCTGGGTCAGTTTTTTTCTGGTCCGTCTGCCAACTTCATTGCCGGGGCTGCTGCCGGTTGTACGACACTGATTATTATCTACCCCCTTGATATTGCACACACCCGTCTTGCTGCTGATCTGGGAACAACCGAGGCTCGTCAATTCCGAGGTGTTCGCCACTTCCTTAATACCATACGTGAGAAAGATGGTGTCCGAGGGATATACAGGGGCCTGCCTGCTTCTCTACATGGAATGGTTGTGCACAGGGGCCTTTACTTTGGTGGTTTTGATACCATAAAAGAGATGATGTCTGAAGACTCTAGACGAGAGGTGGCACTGTGGAAGCGTTGGGTGGTGGCTCAGGCAGTCACATCATCTGCTGGATTGCTGTCATATCCATTGGACACAGTTCGGCGACGGATGATGATGCAATCGGGCCTAGAAAAACCTATGTACCAGAGTACTTTGAACTGCTGGAGGAGGATTTACAGAACAGAAGGGGTGGCATCATTTTACCGTGGGGCTGTGTCAAATATTTTTAGGAGCACTGGCGCGGCTGCTATATTGGTTTTGTATGATGAGGTCAAGAAATTTATGAATTGGAGTGGACTGTAGGAAGAAATACTTTTGTTCGTTTTTGTTCCTGTAAGCGAAAGGATTTAGGTTAGTATGAAGCAGCACAGCATGAATGATCGAATAGAGTTGATCATTATTCGCCGTGTTGCTTTTTGGAGGCTCTGGCAAATAACGATCCTTGATTCTTTAGTTGAAAAATAGAATAAGGTAATATAGTTAGAAATTTTTTTATGCAGTTGCTGATCTGGAAGTCATCCTCTGTTATGTATCTTGTCTATCTTTTCGAGTTTGTCTTGCAGAGCAAGTAAAAAGAAAAAGTAGTCCTAATGTGCATGGTGACAATCTTTGATCCTTTTTCCCCCCCTCTTTTTGGACTTTTGAGAGAAACAAAGAACAATACTGATTTACGAGAATATACAAAGAGAAATTAAATCCACCCATGATCAACCTAAATGAAAAGAGCATTCAAAAAATAGAAGAAAAGGCACAACCCGGGAAAATGAAAATGGCAAAGTATTTTTGAGTAAACGAAAATAGTAAAAGTAGTGGAGCAAACAAGGCACAGAAAAACGGAACACTAGTTCAAATGCAGCCAACCATTTTCCAAAGGGCGTGTAAGCTTACACTGCCTGACAATGTACAATATAATGTATTGTAGTTCGGAACAAATAGGTCGAATATAATGTATTCCTTCCTAAAGAAACCATTGAGAGGTCAAAACTTTGACGAAGAATGTGATCTCTCGATCTCGATGACTAAGCTGTACGTAGCTTGACTTAACCAAATAGATACGTGGCCGAGTGGGAAGCCATAGAACTTTGGGCGAGTCTATTCTCATCCCCCGAATATACTTCCCTACCTCGTTAAACTCGCTAATGTAAAACTATTAAGTCTACCTTACTCTATTTCACCCAATTTGTGGCTAAGCTCACCCATTTTGTACGCACTTGATAATAAAACGTCCTCGGACTAAGGAGCTCCATAGCTCGGAAAGGGTCCATCTCGATAACTCACATGTCCTCCAACTCGTCAGAGTCCAGTCCCCTCACAACTTTGACTAGTTCAACTCTGCTGGAGCCTCCACTCAACCAAGAAGACTATTTTCGTCACTTCTAACGTAACTACCTCCATTTGAATAATAGAATAAGAAGCCCCCAACGACATAGTTAAATTGGCCTATATAAAAGGGGAAGAAGGGAGATCAACCGAGGTAGGCAATAATCACTCCAGCTCAATACTCCCTGTCCTATAAATTCCTCATCTAACTTGACCATTATAGGGTCGACTCCCGCAACCCCTCTGGTCTTCGACTTGCCCTTGTATACCTCCTTTGGTCATTTGGAACGCAATTTCATCCAAGGAGCTTGGAGAGCAATTATTGGTATCAATAGTTGCCGCTGTCTTTGGTAAACGCTAAGTTTTCCACCCTTGAGCAAATTTGAAATAACAAAATTTTCATCCCTAAATTTTTGAACCAATGGCCATTACAATGTCCCAATATCCAATTAGAGACCAAACCCATGAGAATGAACAACCAAAGTCACACACAATTGACCGTCAGAACCTAGCCCCGCCAGAAAAGGAAGCATCGTGAGTAAAGAAGTTGGAAAAAATGTAGAGGAACTGGTTCAACCAAATCGAAAAATCTTGTAGCTTCTCACCACCTAGCAGCTCCTAGAAAAGAATTTGTCCCAGGTCAGGATCATCGTTATGAGAGTCCACAGAATGAAGGCCAAAATGAGGTCATCCGTCCACAAGTAAATGACCAATGGGAATGAAAATTCCAAGATGTTAGATCATATATTGTAATTGGCTAATTTTATGGAGTCCATTTTAAAATCTCAACCATTTCCATGGTCATGATGGTATCAACTTGAAAATCCAAAAACGCCATTGAAGGGAGGAGATCAAGCGTCAAAACTACATCATTCAACCTCTGTATGCACCTTTGAAAGCGATTCGGTTATGACTCTTAGGTAATTTTCAAAGGACAGTTTTTCTAAACTATTTTTGTATTTTGAAAACATAGTTTGAATTACAATCGGATTCCTCTTTGAGAAACACCCTTCAGTGCTCAAAATAATAAGTTTTTGCATGGTTTTAGACTTAAAAAACTTATAGGGACTGATCTATATTTGCTAACCTTCGCTAGGGCGATCTATTGATGATTCAGGATAAAAAGAAAAAATAACATGGGTTTTTTAGTTGTATGAACCCGAGACGAGTTTGAAAAGCTTGTTTCTTAATCGAGCTTAAAAAATTGTTCAAGTTTGACTCGTTTAAGAAATGAGTCGAGCCTAAATGAGCCAAAAACAAGTTGAGCTTGAGCCGAGCCCGAGTATTTGTACATAAACGAGTTGAGCCTGTCGAGTTTGAGTTGAGCTTGTACGACTTGTTTTCTAAACAAGCCTAAAAACTTAATCAAGTTCGGGCTCGTTTAGAAAGCGAACCGAGCTTGAATGAGCTGAACCTGAGTTGAATTCAAGTCAAGCTCAAGTAGCTCAGTTTGATTAACAACCCTAAACATGGGGGATCAATACATGGCTCACTCTATAAGCTCGCTCGAGCGGTGCCCATGGTCGCTCAAGCGGTGCCCTTGGTTGCTTGAGGGGTCCTGGTCCTTGGTTAGTTTGAGTCGGTGTTTTTCACTCCAGTGTCAATTGCCCTATGACCGCCCTTCTACCGATCGAGTGATCGTTTCATGAATCTGAGTTTTCTTATTTGCTAAAACTACCCTTATTCCGAACCTATAAATAGGGAGAGTCTTTCCCACATCTAGGTCTAGCCTTGAGAGAGTCACTTGTGAGATTTTGAAGTGAGAAATCTATCTTTCAACGTTGAGAGCTTCCACCACAACCTAGATCCCTAAGATTCAAAGGCTACCATTAGTGATTCTTTCCATCCTCACAACTTAGAGAAGAAGAACTTATTGGTGAACAAATCCATTGGTGTGTGCATACCGAGGAATATTGGCATGCCCGTAATTGCTCGAGGCCAAGACAAATTGTGACACCCCTAAAACCAAAGGTCCTTTATTAATCGTTGACTATCTGTCAACTCATGGAAATACTCGTGATTATCGTCCAATCTGACATCACGTCAATAGAATCCCTTTAACCGGGATTGTTATCCACTCGTATAACACATGCATATTTTGTCATTTGGTCCAACCGGGTCCAATATACCACAATTTATACTTATTTTATGTCCATTTATATCCTTGGAATCAAAGAACCTATAGTCCAAAGGCTTGACAAAATAATTTTAAAATTTCAAATTTTTGAAAAGTATACCGGTAGGCCAAACCGGTACGAGTTGTCCACTGGAAAAGCCATACAGGTACGAGTTGGCCACTGGTAAAGCCATACCGGTACGAGTTGTCCACTGGAAAAGTCATACCGGTACGGGTAACCCTCTAAAAAAATTCATACCGGTACGGGTAACCCACTGGATCTCGTCATATCGATATGCTTTGCCGACTTTTACCTATTCCACCTATTTTTCATTTTCAATCCATTCCACCACCATCCTATACATGTTTAATGAAGTTTTTCACATTACACATGATCCATACTAGTTCTATTATATTCATTTACATGAATTTATATACCAAAACTAAGTTTTCATAACATTTTTACAAAAATTCAAATAAAACCACATTCCGACTTTCTTCATACTTGAGGCCCCGAGTGAGAGCCTTCCGCCAACGTGCCATTTGCACCTGAAATATTTTTTCCTTAAAGGGTGAGCCACGCTCAGTAGAGTATTTACTACAAAGGTTACTCCCCCAACCTAAGTGCACATGAATGTCCATGCAACATTTATCAAGCAACAATCCCAAACAAGAACTTAATATTCAATGTTGAAATTTTAACAATGTCATGTCATGAATGATATGAGACTCACTCTTGCCTTATAAAACCCGAAAAAAATTTAAACTTTTTTCGGAAAAAGTGCAAAATGGTAATTTATCACTATAATGCAGGTTTAAAATTTACATTTTTCTAGAGCTCAGATGATGCAACGGACCTTACCGTTAGATTTGTATTGCGAAATCGAGCTGTCCTGTCAATTTTTTTATCAAATTTCAAGATAGTCAAATTTTACACATTTTACGAGACAATTGGGTTACAAATGATCTCACGAACATCCGCAAAAATGAAAATTATAAAATTTCCTTATAATTGAATAAAATTTCAAATAAAATTAATTTGAATTGAAAGCGAAATTTAATTAAGTCGTTCCGGGTTAAAAACGGACCCGAAAGTACTAAACGTGTGGGGCAATGTGAATCGCGTAATTAAAAAGTATAAATAGGGGATAATATCTGAAAAATCATATATTTTCTCACCTTTGGCCTGCTGAGTTCACGCGTTGAAGAGAGAAAAGAGAGGAAATTCATTTTCTACATTTCTTTCTCCGATCCAAGGAGTTCCGTCGATCAGAATTGCTTCAACCAAGAATTAAAGTTGGTCTACGCGACGAGAGCTACGCACACGTACCAAGAATGAAGGATTTCACCAAAGATCCAAGAAGCAAATTTTGAAAAATCAAGGTTTTGGGGGCTAGAAGGGTGTCTTGAGGCTTCTACTCTTCTATTTACGCTTCAAGAGGTAGGGTTTCTCCTACTTTAGTTCATTTTCTTACCCAGGACGTATTATGAATGGGGTAAGGGTATAGAATAACCTAGGCCACTTGACTATGGTTATGGAAATGAAGAAATGGGTATGAAATTGGCCTAGACTAATTCCTAGTTATGTTGGCATAGAAAATTACTTGTGTGATTTCCTTGAAATTTGATATTTTTGACATGCTAATGTTTTATATTATGCCTTGTGAATGAGGTGGAAACTCTTGCGTGATAACATGAATGTGCCTTAAGGTATTTTGCTATTTGCCTAAGTGAAAAATTAAGTTGTTATAGCATGGATTATGTATAATAAGCTTGTGAAATTTGTTGAGAATGAATGAATTGCTACATATTGTTAATATATTAGCATTATGTTGATTTATGGTAATTATATGCAATTGCTATAGATTGACATGACATATGCGGAGATATGCAGTTAAATTGTTCAATTGACACTCATTACACATAGAGCATAACATGGATATTGCAATGGTATACTACATTGCATGTGCACGGGGGAAACACATCCATAAGCATGAGTGTGGGTGCATGGTTGAATCAAACACCATATTTGGTGATTGATGAGTGGGCTCGGGAAAGTTGGACTGAAGATCCGACTGAGTCTCATGAATGCATGAAAGGAAAATTGGGTCGAGTAGCAAGAAG